AAAGCCCTGAGAAGTGGCTTTCAAACCAGAAAGCAGCTCACTTGGTCAGAAAAAAGGCCTGTTTTGTTTGAGGCCATTAGCTAGAAACACATGGATCCCAGCCCACAAAACTACCTGGTGATGAGACATCTGAGACCCTGCTCAGGTGTCAATGAGTGCTTCCTGCCAGCCTGGAAAAATGCTCTGTTCTTCTGCAAAATTCAGCAGGGATACAAAAAAAGGCAGACTAAAGTCTCTCCATGTGGTGGAGGAGCAAGAGCAAACCCCACTAAGAGAGGGTGAGCTGAGCCTGGTGCTCTTCTCCAGGAGCAACTGGGGATTCAGTGCTTATGGAAATTGTATAAATAAAGTGATGCCCTGGGAATTATGTGTTCCAGGATGCTCTCACAGCTGTGATCCCACCTGCACACAGCAAGCCCAGGTACTCACATCATTTTTGTTGAAGTACTTCAGAGCACCTTCCCTCTCTGACAACACGAATTTTCGGCTTAAGAATTGCCCATTGTCGCGTCCTCTCTTCCACAGAAATCCTTCTCGGTACCCTGCAGCAGAAAGGAGTGACTGAGAACCAGGGATAAAGGGCTGTATTTAAAAGAGATTTGAGATAAAAAACTACAGCTTCAGAACTAAGCAAACCAAGTGTGGCTGTTCTGCTGAGGACATGAATGAAATGGGCCTTTCTCCTTCAGATCTGCCCTTCTCACTCTGCTCTGGTTCTGTTCCAACAGCTTGTGCTTCAGACATCTCCACTCTGACACCCAGGGGGTGACTGCCTGCAGGGACCCCTCGTGCAGTGCTGCAGCTCAGCCCTGGGTGAGCCAGCACAGCAGAGGGTGTCCCTCTGTCCCTGTGAGACCCAGCAGTGCTGCAGCTCAGCCCTGGGTGAGCCAGCACAGCAGAGGGTGTCCCTCTGTCCCTCTGAGACCCAGCAGCCCCCGCTGCCTGCATCCCACAAACCCAGCTTGCTGCTGCCCCGAGATGCAGACAGGATTTGTTATCCCACAGCCAGCACTGAGGGATAACACCACTGTCCTTCTATTCCTTCCAGCTCTGAGCCCTCTCCATCCCTCCTGTGCAGGAGTGCTCCAGCCCACTGGAGCCTCATGGCCCATGTGCACCAGTCCAGTATCCCAGGGGACCAACACTGGATACATCAGGGGCTAGTTTAAAAAAAAAAGCTATTTTTTTTTCTCTAGTCCACCCATCCAGCTTGGAAGAATCTTCTCCAAAATCAGGATCAGACCCAGCTCGTTCAGTCCATCAATTCAACCCTACCCCACTATGGGCTGGCTAGGAGCTTCCCTAGCAAAAACCCCTTTAGAGGACACTGGCAGTGTCAGAAAGAGAAGAACCCACAGGAAGCAGGATTACCCCAAGTCTGAGCAAGGGGAAGCAGCCAAGGAAGCAACCAAAGCCCAGCCAAGGGCAGCTGCATCCATCAGCAGAGCAGGAACAGCGCAGGCTGCTGTGCAGAACTGCTGGGGAACCACAGCTCTGCCTGATGCAGAGGCAGGCTCTGCTCCCTGCTCCATCAGCAAACCCCTCTGTACCCTGTGGCAGGCTGCACACCATGGAGCTCACAGGAATAAGGTGTCTGTGGCAGGGGACAGGCGGGCAGGAGGTGGTGCCAGCTGATCCATGCCTAACACGGCAGGTTTAACGTGAGGCAGAGATGGTGCTGGGGCTCTGACTGCTCCCCTGAATGGCAACACGTGAGCTCCTCCTCAGAGTGTGAGGTTTGGGAACCAAGGACAAGTGGCTTCTGTTCCTGAAAGGTGCTGGGTTTTAATGCCAAGCCAGTTGGAGCAGCAGGAGAATACTTCAGAAGCTGTTGCTATTGATTCCACTGAACAGCAGAGAGGCCTTCAGAGCCTCTCTGTGCCTGGCATTTGGGGAACACTGATGTCTTGTAGGAAAGGACATCAAACAACAGGAGAGTGGTATCTCCAAACAGAAATGTGGGGTGATGCCAGAGTAAAGCCCATCTTTTCCTTCAGAAATCACCACCTGGGCTTCGTGTGGTTCAGCAGAGCACACAGAGCACACAGAGCTCAGCTCGTGGTGGCCCCACCTTGGGGCAGCTCCTGCCTGTGGATCTCATCCATTCACTCATCCATTCCAAACACAGGATTAGTGAAGGATGCTGCAGGCATTCCTGAGTACACTTGCTCCCCTCCACGACACTGATTTTTTAGCATTTAAGGGATGTAGAATAAAATCACTCTGTCTCCCCAGGGATGATCTCAGATCATTGCTAACCCTGGCAGATGTGCCCCATCATCTGTGTGTGAAAAGAGGGAAGCCCAGAGAGGTTTGCTGAGCTGTCCAGGACAAGGATGTGAGCCAGGGTCAAAGTCAGCCAGTTTTCCCTGCCCTCTTACATTGGACATTTAATTTTGATGTTCTCTTTCCAACTTCTTGTGTCAAAACACAGGGTTCAAATTCTGCTTCAAAGAAGAATTACAAAAGCCCAACACAACCAAGTGTTATCCCATTCTGTGGCTCACATGTTGGCTCTTCCCCAGCCAATCACTTCAGCAAAAGAGCTCCTGGCTGCTCAGACAAAGCCAGCTGCTGATTTCAGTGTACTTTACAGTGTACAGGTTTTTGCTTGCTTCTTTTCTTTTTCTTTCCTTCAGGGCTGCATCCTCAGGAGCTGTTCCTCTGCTCTGCCCAAACCTGAACCCCTGTCAACACCCATGAGTGCAAACCACAGTGACTGGCACTTGAACCCAACCTGAACCCACACAGGCTCCCCAGGCAAACTGTGTGTCAGCAAGACGTGTCCTCAAAGCCCTGACCTGAAGGGTTGTGAGAGCAGCCAGAGAAGGTGCTGAGAAACAAAACTGCAGGAGGCTGAACAGGGAACAGATCTCACACTGGAGGGCATTGGAGGCAAAATAAACCCTCTCTTCCTTGTCTCATGTGCTGCACTATCTTAGCAACAGCACCTGGTCACATTCTGATCTTCAGGCCTTGGCACAAGATTCCCAGAGCAGCTCTGGCTGCTTCCCTGGAAGGGTCCAAGGCCAGGTGGGACAGGGCTCAGAGCAACCTGGGATAGTGGAAGGTGTCCCTGCCATGGCAGGGTGAAATGAGATGATCTTTAATGTCCTTTCCAACCCAAACCATTCTGTGGCTCTGTGAGGGCTGCTCTGCTCAGGTGGAAGCTGAATGACCACAAGCCCTACAACACCTGCTGACCACTGGTGTTGGGCACACAGCATCGTGTCACCAAGTTTGCTTCCTCTCCCAAACACAGGACAAGGGATGCAACCACCTGCCACCATCCCAGTGATCACCAGCACCTAACCACGAGTGTAGAAAGCACTGCTTGGGGAAAAGCTGCTGAAGAAATACCACTAACATTGCTAGCACTGCTGCTGTCACATTTCCTGCATCACTTCTGCCACCTGCCAAGGAGCAAGCTTAATTGCTTTTGCAGGCTGCTCTGCACAAACCTGTGACACCTGCAAAAGCCCCTCCAAGCAGTTGTGTCAGTCAGCCAGCAAATGGCACATGATACAATCACAGCACCCAGGTATTTCTGAGCTGTTACGTGGCTTCCAAGGTAAAATGAGGAACTGTCACTTCTACACCCACTTCATCCCCACAGCTAAAACTCTGGGGGCAAGGAAAACAGGGTCACCAGGCTGGCTGACTGAAAAGAAGATTGTGCTTGGCCTTGTGCCAGCTCAGGTGGGCTGGTGGCTGCAGCTCCTTCAGGCACATAAAACTGGCAGCACCCATCGGGAGCTCCAGTGTCCCCAGCCTGGCCCTGCCTGAGAGGCTGCAGAGGAAGCAAGGGAGAGGATTTTATGTCAAGAACATCTGTTGTAGCCACCATCTTTCCATCTGACTTCTACCAGCATTTGGTTCAAGTTCCCTGTTTTAAAGAAGAGGGATATTGCTACTTCCCCACCTCAGAAAGCTGTCCCAGAGCTTAGTTAATAATGGGGGTTTGGTCTCTGAGAACGTGGATTACAGGAAGTACCCAAAATCACTTGTTCAGTTTTACTCTTTGTTCTCAGAGAAGAAAAATCCCTCCTGCAAGGAGAGCAATCAGATCCACTGGCTTGCAAAAACCAACATGCATGGACTTTGCTTCTGTCATCCTAAGTAAGGCATTATAAACTGGGAATTAAAGCCACATCTGATCTTTGGTGTCTTGGCTCCTTATGTCACAGTTTCAGAACTGCTTGTTCCCATGATGTTTCTAGGGCTGTGGTAAAACCAGGTCCAGGCTTTTGGAAGAAACCTGAGTGCATCCAACACCACACAAATGCACCACTGTGTAGTTTCTTGCCTCCTTGCCTCACTGCAAGACAAAGCATGGGGGCTGAATGTGGGAAAAAAATGTACTTGTGCATGTAATCCAAGAGAATCACGTTTTCCTAGAGTTCAGCCAGGGCACCTCCTCCTACAGAAGCCATTTTTCCTTCCTCTCAGTGGTTAAAGTGCATTGACCCCATTCAGAGCTTTGGAGAGGATTCAAATGCAGCTCCCTCACTTTGCTGCTAAAATTGCAGGGTGCACATGGCCACTCCTCTGTGTGTCAAAGCTGAGCACTCTGCTCTATTAGCACTGCAAGGTGTTAATTAGGGCAGGACAGGGGATAGGCACTGCCTGGACATGGTGTACCCACCTTTTCTGAGAGGTTAAGGAACTTCATAATTATCTGGAGCAGCTGGGAGGTCACTGCTTGGTGCACCTAATGCAAGGTGGGTGCCTGGCTCACACTCTCAGGGTGGGAAGGGAATGATCTCTCTCCACCTCCCTAAAGACAACCTTTTCTCCCCATTTAGGACACCACATCCTCTTCACATCTCATCCAGCCAGGCCAAAGAGCCCAAGAACATCACCCTGACACCCACACCATTTCCTCACACACATTTCCTCACACACGTTTTAGAGACGCAAAATTTCCCAGCTCCTAACCAATCAGTCCTCTCTTAACGAGCACTTCGCTTCCAAATTACCTTTCCTGAAGGCCATTCTGCAGAGAAGGGTTTCCTGTTGTCATCCAGTCTGCCTCTGCTGCCTTCCAGGAGCTCATAAAACAATTATTGTCCCACTGCATTGTCCCCTCAGCTATGGATGCAAGCGGCTGATGAGATTGATTACTTCCACAATACCCAATTAACCCACTCACTCTGCAAACGATTGACTTAATCAAAGGCAATTAGTGCTTGAATGGCTAGAGCAGACAGAAAGCCAGGATTTAGTGGATGATTCAGATGACATTGTACAGACATCTCCTTGGCCTTCTAAGGGAAAACATCTTCACTAGTGCTCAGCTCAGAGCTGGAAGTAGATGAAACCTCAGGTCGGTGCTGTGGGGTGGCACAGAAGACACGAGGGAGTAGGAACACACACTTCCCTTTACTGACAGAAGGGGAACTTGCAATGACTGATGTTCCCTTTTTCCTGCTTTTTCTGCTCTTGCAGGGCCTGGAGCACCGAGCAGCTGACCAGACCTCAATGTCCAAGAGGGTCCTGGAAAGGTCACTTGCCTCTGATAGATCCAGCTCTCTGAGCAAAGCCAACGCTGTTCTACAAAACCACCTTCAATATTGATTTCTTCCACAGCAACTTCTCCCACAATTTAAAAAAAAACAAAACAACAAAAACCACTCCAAAAGACTCAGTTTGGAGGCAGGACCACATCTCTGTAGAAATACAGGTGTCAGTGTCCTCAGGGACTGATTTATCTCTAGACAAATCACCCCAAACTGGCACAGCAGAGACCAGACAAAGCCTCACCACAGGAAGGTGAAGAAGAGCAAACCCATGACACCAAGCAGAGGACAGAGACCATTTTAGATCATGTAAGGAACAACTTCAAGGCTGAAGCTACACATGGAAAACCAATTCTCCAGATCACTGCAGAAAGATATTGTCATCTTGCTTCATCCTGATTTTGTAGTGGAAAAGGATGCTCCCCAGCTGGGATCAACATGGAAAATGGAGCCAAATGCACCATCTCTATGGAAGGGTCACAGGGCTGGGCTTAACTACACATCAGACCCTGAGGCTGACAGAGAGGAGATGAGGTCTGTCCCACCCTCACAGGCACATGGAATTTAAATGCAAGGTCCATCCCTGGGTTTCCAGTCCCACTTAATTGTGAATACACTTGCCTTGGTGTCTCACAGCCGAAAATCCAAACTGCTTCTAAGCAAAGCCCCAGTAATAAAGCTGAAATCCATTAAGCCTGTGATGTTTGCCGCTATTTAAATCTGATTAAAATTGTACATGACACCACTAAGCCAAACAGTCAGAAAACACTCCTGTCAAGTCTGATGTTTCTCCACTTAATCCAGACCCCCCTTCTTTCACCGGGTTGTCAGCTGAAAGGAGCCATAACAAGAGATCATGTACCTAATCCAGCTTCCTAAGCTGTTTTTAACTGGTTTCTTTAATCACATGTTATGATTCCCTGCGGAGCAGCTCTCAGGTGACATTAGCACAGTCACTCATACTCCAGGGGGATCTCAGGTGGGATCACCTTGCTCCTTGTGGTCCTGGAGTGCAGCAGGAATGAGACACACACAGGAGCCTCTGCAGAGCCTGGGAAGCCACCAGTGGGATAAACAATGGGGAATCACAGCAGCAGGGGGTGACAGCCACAGGTGAGCAGCTGCAGGGTAAGATAGTGCAAAGGACTCTCATCAGAGAAGCAGCTTCTTTTGGTAGAGTGATATTGATCTCCCAGTGAGCACTCACCTCTGAAAATGCTGTGTGGGAACAAGTATCAGGCAAAAACACCAAATTATACAATTCCCAAGTCCTCACCTGATGCTGCAGGCATATCAGGTTTGATAAAGAAGGCAGCCACATCCTCCCTTTTATCAGTTTATCTTATAATTGACCATCAATACAGTACAACTTCCGTGGTAACTTAATTATTGAGCAAGTGTTTACATATTAAAGATAAGACCACAGCTGGCTGCTGCAAGCACAATTTGATTCTATCTGCTGGGTGATGTTAGAGCCCCTTGCTACAGAAAATGTCTTTACTGGAAGCCTTGCAGTTACATTGCTGAGAATTGAATGTGGAATCTAATTTTACTTGGAAATCAAATGCTTCCTCTTCCAGTGGCATCCCCGCAACACCCACCTGGGAGCCGCTGGCTGCTTGGAGAGAAAAATCCTGTTACAGGTAAATAACCTTCAGGTTTCGATCTTTTGAAGCCAGTCTTTCATAATAAAAGGCAGATGAAAGCTGGGAGGTTCCCAGTGTGATGTTCATCCCATTTACCAGCACTGAGTGCACTCAAAGCCTGATTTAGCTGGAAAGCCGGGGGAGAAAATGTTTAAGGGCAGGCACGCGGTACTAACTCACAATAACATCCTGCAGCAGCTCACTTCAGGAGCTGGATTCTGAGAGCCAAACCACAGGGCAAGGATCCTCCTTGGGCAAGAAATAAACACTCCAAAAAATGCTTGCTGCAGCCACTGAGTTACTGCACAGGAGGATGTGTGCAGCCTCCCCTCCCCGCACCTGGAGGAGCTGCTGCCATCCCACACCATCATCACCCCTGCCCAGGGATGCCCACACACAGCTGGTCCTGCCTGGACCTCTGCAAGGCAAGGGAGAGCCCACAAGGAACTGCACTGGCTCATGCAGAAAGCAAAAAGGTGAGACAGTGAAAGGGGACAGGGAACCTTGACACCCTCCTCATGCACCACAGTGGGATTCACCAACCTACAGTGCTGAGGCTCCAGCTCAAAACAGCTCCAGAGCACCAGGAGCCACCTGAAGGTCTGGATTTTACACAGGCATCCTCAAACCACACCTAGGGGATCAGGCTAAAATGGCCTCTGAGCCTGAAGAGCTCTTGATGGATCTCTTCCCCACACCAATAAATAAAACCTCAGCCTAGGCAGCTGCTCACACAGATCAATCCAAGCAAGGATGAGATTTAAACCTCCAACAGAGCTGTAGAGAAGCCAGAGAGAAGTTCACCACAGACTTTGGATGGGTTTAGGACCCTGTGTTCTGGGGCATCCTGGAATAAAGTATTCCCCAATAGGCAGCATTTCCATACAATCATAAATCATGGAAAGCCATTCTCACATGCACAGAGCACTCCTCCTTTTCTGCTTTGAAGAGAAATCCAAATGGCTTTGAGCAGATTGAGTGCTGCTATTGGCTCCTGGATGTCTTTTATTGAGTGTTCAATGCATTTACAGTGAAAACTTCATACAGGAAAGGAGAATTTTTTAATTTAGGACTCATTTTTGCCCTGGCTGCTGGTGTTCCAGCTGTCCCAGGAATCAGCTGGTACACGATGCTCTGGCAGCTGTGCTATCAAGGGAGGAGCATTTGGCAGCACAGCCACAACCTCCAGGTTGCCCAAGGACATTTGCACACCTTGATTTTTCTAGAATTACCTCCCATTCCCTGGAGCAGCATAATGCCACTTAATGAACTCCTGGAATTATATAAATCAAGGCTAAATTCTGTCCCAAAAAAATCACTGACCAAAATTCCCACTGACTAGGCTAGGCTAAAATTTTCTTTCACCCTCTGCAATGCATGAAAGTTTGAAATTCACTCCCTGCTGAGCAGCCTCGTTGTCTTTTAGGTATTTTGGGGATATGCTGTTAGTTACTGCCATGCCACATGTCCCTCAGGGGCTGCCCTGGTTATGAAACTGGAGGTGGCTGCTGCATCTGCACCTCAACAGCAGCAGCATTTGTAAAACCAGTCCCATTTAGCCAGCTGGGGAGGCAGCTCCCTGTCCCATTTCAGTGCAAGCATCCCAGAACTGGGGTGTGCACAACTCCTCTACTGCAGCCTTCCTGCTGCAGCAGAGATTTCAAGGTGAAAACTCGGCTGAACTCACTCTAGGAGGAAAATGCAGGTGGATGTGGGCTGGTGCTGGCAAGAAAGAAGCACCAGCAAATGCTCTGGTTCAGAGTTGAGGCTGATCTAACTCAGCTACATCTCTGGCAAACTCCAGAAAAAGACATGACCTCACCCTGGAGAATGTTCTTTATCTGGTGAGAGACAGAAACCAGCCGACCCTGCGCAGGTCTCCAAAGTAAAATGGATCTTTCTTTAGTAGAAATTTAATTAAGCTACCATGAGTTGCCATGAAAACAGCCTTTCCCATGTTCTTTGTTATCCTACTGCTTCCTAGTCACTCCCTTCTCATTAGTGGAAGAAAGATGCCCCAGCTTTTTGGTCCCGTGTCATTACTCAGGGAATGTGAATGTGCACAATGTAAAATCACTGAGAAACACCAGACCTGGAGCACCAAGAACTACCCTCATAAAGCATGGAAAATACAAAGGGATGGTTCTCCTATTCATTCCTTAAACATTTATCATGCAAGACATGGAGAACAAAGCTTTGTACTTCTTTTCAGCTGCCTCAAATTGATATAGGTCCATTTATTGACTGCAAAATCTCAAGGTTACAGGAACAGACAGCCTGAGCAATATCAAGATACACTAATTCAAGCTGGTTGACCTCAAAGAGGGAAAGCTCAAGGACAGGAGTGAGTCATGATAATTTTAGTCGGGGTGTTTCACACATTTATTGACCTTATAGTCTATCCTCACCAGCTGGACTGACTCTCCTGGGAGCAACTCAGGGCAACCCCAGGGAGCATCCAGAGCACACCCCAAAACACAGGCAGCACGTTCAGCTGCCACAGGCTGGAGGGGCTCAGACCACCTCACCCATGAGAAACTGCACTGGTTCAGCAAATTCAACCAACCTCCAACTGACCACAAATTCAATGCTTTTGATTTGAGTTGATAAATGTAAATATTTCTGTTAAAGGATGACACAAAATGAAACATTTCTTAGGTGTGCTTTTTTGAGAGGGGGAAAAAAGCCCCTAACGAAATATTTTGCACAAAGTCCTTAGATGGAGAACAAAAAAAATAAAAGGACCAACCCCCAACTATTTAAAATTTCATGGGACAGCCCTTACCCCTCTCAGCAAGGCTCCCACCCACGCTGCTCTGCTTCCCCTGCATTGAGCATCGCTCCTGCCTTTCTCCTTGCACGAGAGCTGCTGCTCCTTGGCTAATTATAGAAGCTTGGATCAGAGCTATGCTGAAGGCAGCTTGACAGAACCAGCTGTTAAAATTACAGCTGGATCCTAAACTAGCTGTGAGCATCCAGCTTTAGCTCGCAGTGGTGCTACCCCCCTTCCCAGGGCCAGCTGCCAATGCCTTGCTTGGCCAGCTGCTCCTCCTCCCCTAAGTTCAGACCCACAGGTTCTCACCTGCAAGTTTTGGCTGCCTAAATGCTTTTGTGCTTTAGGGGAGTTGAAGACATCAGAGTATTTCTCTTTGCTAGATGTTTTTCTTCCTGCAGCAGCTATCTGTAAGATCCATCACCGCCCCATCACTTTGTCACTGCAATGTTCATGGATTTCCTGGAAAGCATAACAGTAGTCGCTGGCCTCTTGCCATAGCTCAGAGAGATAGAAAAAATAAAACTGCACCAAATTTAACTCTAAAAGACAAGCTTTTGCATTTGGAGCCCTCTCCTTTGCCTTCTGGTGGCGACTTTGTGCCGTGTCTCCACATCAAGGCTGGGAAGTGGTGCAGCATCTTCCCTTGATTCCCACAGAGGCCCTAGGAGGCGGCAGTGCTCCTTCAGAGGGGTACCCAGTCTGCATCAGCACTTCCAAACAGCTCCTGAAAGGCACTGAAAGGCTTCTGCAGCTCCTGGTCATATGATGCCAGTCCTGTGGAAATGTCAGCGCATCCCGGCATGGGAGCGATGGCACGCGCGGGTCCCTGTCAGCCCCGCTCCCCTCGCACAAGGGAAAATAAGAGTAAGTACAAACCATGCTGTGATCTCCCCTTGCACCCTCCTCCTGAGTTTAGTTTGTTAAACAGCCCTTTGATGTGCCTTGTCTTTACTGCAGCAAAGTCCTGTTTGATGTTTACACCCATTTGCATTGTGAGTTCCGACAGGGACGAGGCTGGGAGCCAGCACAGGAGAAACCTTCCCTCCTCAGCCTGCCCAAACCCACTGGGGATGCTGCAGTGGGTGCTGTCAGTCTGCCTGGGGTTAGGTCTGCTGCTGGTTTCTCAAGTGGATATTTTCAAATGGATCCATTTCCTTCCAAGGCAATTTGGTTCAATATTTGCTCTCTCACTGTGTGAGTTTTTGCTTTGCTCTGGGTGAGGCTGCAGAGAGCAGAAGTGACCTGCAAAGCCTCTCCCCCATCCACTTCCCATGGTAGCAGTGCCAGGGCACACCAAGGCAGAAGAAGACATTTGTTTCAAAGCAATGACTGCATTTCCCTCAAACCTCCAAGGAGAGGATGGGGAAAGGTTTCTTGGAAGAAGCCCTGACAGGGAGTTGTGTAATGTTAAATGCATAAAGGATTATGCTGGGGAGACATGAAAAGGAGACAGAGCATCAGCGATGGGTCCCATCTGCTTCAGCTGAACATACTTTCCTCTAGACTTTCCTCCTTCAACCATTTCAATCTTTCTCCAGAGCCTTTCATCTTAAACTCTTCCTCCCTATTAGACAAAAGGTTTTGGGAGAAAAAAAAAAACCAAGAAGGCAGGCATTAATTCTCCTTCTTTGTACCCAAAATCCACAGCACAACTGCCAAGGCACGGATGCCAGATGTCACAACCCCCACTGGGGCCATGCCCTGCTCCTGGGGCTGCAAATGTCACACCTGACACATGTGAGGGGCAGGGGGGCTCAGAGCCACCCAGAGGGGCTTCACCTTCACCAGAGGGCGTGGGGAGGGGGAGCAGCTCCCCCAGCCTGGCTGCAGCGTGGCTCACGTCCCGGCCGGCGCTGATGTCAGCGCTGGGGAACAGAAGCCTCTCTGTGCCTCGGCAGCAGGAGAAGGAGGTTCGGTGCCAGGCAAGGTTGCTCGCTGGAGGGATGCTCCTGCTTTAACCCACTCCTGACAGCAGCACATCAGCCTCCAGTCACCTTGGTGCTGCCAGGGTTTGCAACATCAGGCACTCACACCCCTGCCCTCTGATGGAAACCTCTGGACAGGGGCTGCTTTTTGGGGGCATCAGAGCACCAGATGCAACAAAATCTCTGTTGCAAACAACAAAATACTCTTGAGTACCCTTGAAATGCTAAAATGCTCCTTTGGAAAGCCAACAGTGGAAGCTGCATCTTTTTTGGAGAGGGGTAGAGCCCTGCTGCCACTTAGCCTGACATCCTGCATTGCTCCCTGCCATGCTCCCCACTGTTCCAACGACCACAAAGAGAAGCATCAGCAGAACCTGCACAGCACCAAGCTCATGGCAGGCTGCAAAACTCGGCCAAGAAGCCAAATTCCCTGATACAACCCCAGGCTGGCTGTGATGTCAAATCACTTCATGCTCTGGGACACTGAGGCAGGGCAGAGGTCCATGCCAAAGAGATGCAGCATCCCTGTGCCCTGGGTTCCTCATCCATCCACAAATCCAGCCTGTCCAGAGATCAGTCCCACCTTCAGCTGCCCTGGGTGCATCAGAGCCAAGCACAGGAGCTGCTCCTGGTGTCAGCTGGGAAGATTGAAATGCAGCCAGGCTGTGGGAGCCTGCAGCCAAGCCCTTACAGACGAGGGCAGGACTGAGCACAGAGGTTTGTAACACGGTTCTCCTGAAACCCAGTCAGAGCCAAACCTGGTGCTTGGGTTCAGCCAAATACCAGGATCAGTTGCTGGGAATTTACTGGAAATGGTGATTTAGCAGAAGGCACCACTGATGCAATCCTAGCATGCACACCAAGCACCAGCATGCGCTGCAGGGAGCTGGTGCCACGACTCCCTACCACAAAGCATCTCCCTCTCCATGCCCAAATCTCTGCTTTGCAAAAGCCAACATGAATTCTCAACAAAATACCAGGCTATCCTGATTTTCACTGCTTTTAACCTATACTGCTAATTACTTCTTGATTTTCATCTCTAGGTCTATGAGGAATCTTCTTAGAGGGATTGGAAAGAGAGGCTAAGGCAGCACAAAAAAGCATCCCACAGTGAGGGATGCTCCACAGATCCTGTGACAGCCGCATCTTCCTGACACACACACTGCTGCCCTGAATCACAAAAACAAGAGCTTCCCATCAGTGAGGGGCAGAGCAGAAAATTATGGAGCTTCTCTCAAAGCCCTGCTCTAATATTTGAGCCTTTCAAGCATCAGAAAAGAATTTAATCCACTTTACAACTAGCATCAGATAACAGTGACATTAAAAAGCAGTCAGAACCAAGCAGCAACTTCTTTTTGAGGCTATTAAGTAGAAATAAATTAACTTATTTCTTTCTGTTGAAAATTCCTCTCTACAGGCTAAGATCAAGGCCAGCTAAAGCTTTTGACAGCTGTTTGCCCATCAGCCACATCTGCATCGAGGTTAAATAAAGATTTACAGTCACAGAAACTTCTGAAAAACTCAGACCTTTGGATTAAGATGCAGCCAGTATTTTCAGAAGTTCAACTCACAAAATGTTAGAAGAGCCAATTATAATTAGGCTTTTTCTACATTTCTATATATGGTGTAAATCAGGAGGCAAGCCACTGGCATTACAGGAAACATGCCAGCAAAAAAAAAAGCAGAATGAGGGGAAAATAAACTCTTTATTTGCACGATACTATTCACTTTACAGACACATAATGCAGCCAGGGCTTTAAAGGCCCTTTATAAATTTGCAGCATTATGTGGCACTAGAGCTTTTACTGTGGTGTTCAGAGTCTAATGTGACCTGCTGTTCACACAGTGGCATTTCAAACCCCCCTGGCCTCAGCAGAAACACCTCCATGGTCACGGCTCGGGGCTGGGCACACGAGCACAACCATCACACCTGCTCTGCAAGATTCTGCTGCTTCCAGCTCCCAGCAGGAGCAGGGAATGGAAACTGATTTTGTCTAACAGGGCACTCATGGCCTGTTTACAAACTGGTGATGTGAACTGGAGGATGCTCTGGCCCTGGACACTCGGACATTCGGACGCTGCCCTGGGCTGGTGCTGCAGCCCCTCAAACAAAGGGCAGGCTCCAATCCCACACCAAAGGCTATTTTTAGCACGAGGAGATGTTGTAAAGCTCCTAAGAAACTGGGGGAAGGGAGAAAAGGTTTAAGGAATAAAAATCCCCAAACGATGCTGGAGTACTTGTGTCCCTTGTCAGGTCAGAGAAGTGAGGCACAAGCCCTGCCCTCATCCTGGCAGCCACAGCATGGACAAGGTGGAGGATTATTTCACACACACCCAGCCCAAAGCAGACAGTGGTACCCAGCTCCCAGAGGCTGTAGGATGCTCCTGCACACCCCAGGGCTCCCAGGCAGGTGACCTTGCTCTGCAGCACTGTGCTCTCCTGCAGCACACACTGCCTGGACAAAGCCCAGCGAGATGCTGCTGATAACCCTTGACATGGTGGTTTTATCTCGTGGTTTCTGTTACTGCTCCTGCGAGCTGTTTCCTAAGGAACCAAAGCTGCTGTGAGCATTGCTCATCCATCTCTCCCTCTGGCTTCTCAGCATCCTGGATAATTTCAGCCAGATGTGGCTCCCCATAGTTGCTGTTCTCTCTTTCTCACATAAAAAGCAATGGGGTAATTTACACACTTAAAAACCATCCTCATGAACAACCCTTGTGGTGGGGCACTGCCCCTCCTTCTGTGAGGGGCTGGCATCTCCCTGCCCTCACCTTACCCCCAACCACACACCCCACCCTGCTCTGTGTTAGCACAGCATTACCCTGACCATGCTCACACCTTCACCTGGGAAAAGCCAGGAGAGCTGCCCTGGAGTCAGTGGAAATACAAAGAGGAACATCAGCCAAGGATGTGGGCTGCACTAGGGGAAAAAACAACAGTGAATTAAATCTTCCTGCTGGTCTGCATGAGAGAAGCTGAGATGGCAGCTGGCTACCATCCTGACCACACACATGAGCTGGCTCAAATCCTTCCCTGTGCTAAAAGCAGCTCTTGATTTAGCTGACAACACTTTAGCAATAGAGTTTTATTTTAACTCTTTTATTTAAGATGCAGGTCTGGTGTCTTGTCAGCAGTTAAAGGATGCTGCAGGGAGGACCTGTGGTGCTTCTCCCCACTTGCAAGGAGCTGGTTTCACACAACAGCTGTGTCTCACCCTTACCAAGTCACTCCCACAGGGTTTCTCCCTACCCACCATGCTCTGACCATGGAGCAGGTCCAGTGGGATGGAGCAGTGTTCCACATAAAGACTTTCAGACAGCATAAACCAGCACAAGAAATAGGGAAAAAAACCCAACAACCCACCTTTGCCTCTCTAGCACCTCTCACAGGAGCCCAAATCTGGGAACATCGTTGTCTCATACCTCTACAGTGCCCTGAATGGAGACCTTGCTCTTTCTCACCAGCACCCTTTTCTCTTCTGGTCCAAAGGTCCTTCCCAGCAGCACAGGAGCTGCAGCCAAGCCTGAGCAGGGCAGTGATTTACTGGCACAGCCTGTGTATGTGACAGGACACTGGGGCAAACACCTCTCTGGAGCAGCACTTCCACCACGACTCACCCCAGCAGTGTGCAGCGTTAAAACCTTGCAGACTGCACACAAGGTGCCCTGCTCCCCCGAGCCTGCAGGCCCTCTCCACTCCCATCCCTTCTTCCTGCAAGCACCCACAGTGGCTGTCCCCAGGCAGCCATCCTCCCTCCCAGTGTCACCAACCCTCCTGTCCCCATGCCACCTCCACCCCTGGGCCTCACTGCACCTGCTTGCACAGCAAAGGGATGGGATGGCTCTGAGTGCCTTCACAAGCATCTCCTCAACGACCACGAATGTTCAGGGCTTAGCAAAGGCCACCAGGAGCCCTCAAGCTGATGCTTTATTTCTTTGCTGAGTGCTTTGGGCTGTGTGATGTGTGGAAAACCCCGTGCCCTCTGAGGCTGCCACTGGCACTGGTTTGTTCCCTGGGTGCTGCTCAGCCCTGTAATTTGCTTCTGAGGGGGTGAAAAAACCCACAGCAGAGCTGGTGTCGCTCTGACACCCACAGCTCCTCACTAGCTGGAGGAAATGGGGTAAGAGACAGCAGAGGAACAGGCCTGTCAGTTAAAATAATTGGATTTTAACTGCAACACTGCTCGCTGTTTTGTCTGATGAGGCCCAAAATAAACTGCATTACATCACTGCAGGTCACACTGAGCTAATAAGGGTCTCTTCCTCACACTGAGAAAGGACGTTTTTGTGTCCCCTGTGTTTTCTTCAGTGCTTTGCAGTCAGAGCTCCTTCCAACTGTGTGAGTGCAGGGGAAAATTAATTCAAACTGCTGCCCAAATTATGCAAGAGCCTCATGGAATGGAAAGTGCATATTAACAGATTTTACTATTTTAGGGTGTTCTTTTATGTCTCAAAATTTATTTTGCCATCATATTTGCAGACAAATAGGAAACAAAACATAAGCCAAGTAATCCTTAGGGTGCTGACAGAAGATTGTACAAGGAAATAGGCACCTTCAGAGAAATGCTACCTGAATAAACCACAGCTCACCTGAACAGTGACAATATGATCCAGTCCACTATAAATACAGGAATGCAATCCAACAGAGCCTGAAGCCCCAACCATCACTGACTTTGCTAATATGCCCAAAATTTTGCCTGTGTGTTCCAGCTTTCTCAGCAGCTCCAGTGGAAGCTCACAGACTGCCTCAAGCTGCAGTAACACCACGTTATTTTACTCTGCAACCCATAGATGGGTCATCCCACCCATCCATGGAACTACCAGTCAAATAATCCCAGTCCTCCAACTCCCACCCCAAAGCACAGGGTTTAAACCTTCACCTGGTGCAAATCTGGATTCCTCCAACACTTTCATGGGACCTATGACAATTTTTATCAGCTGAGGAGCCCCAGCTTCACAAGATCAGTGAATGAAAGCAGTGAAGTCAAAGTTCAAAGAGCAAACAATTCCCCTTTTCCCTCTCTTGGCCATGTTCCCATTTTCTGATCCATAGCCTGAGATGCATCACAGCAGCTGCACCTTGACCAGTTTATATCATCACAGCTCTCCAGCCCTGTAAATACTATTCCTTTTTGGTTCCCCCACCTCTCCCTTGGTTAAAATAAATCCCCTTGATTAAGAGAAATCAAGAGCACTCAACTGAACAAACTTTCAGCAGGTCCTCTGGGAAGCATTGCCTTAACTGCCATCTATCAACAGCAGTGGAAAACAACCAAGCTTTTTTAAACTGATCAAAATCTTTTTAAATTTTATCAAACCTTGCAATTGCCTTGAGATACAGATCCAGACTTTGATGGCAATTACAACTGTGCCCTGTTTCTAGGAGAATTCAGGACCCATGCCCCATTAAACTCTGTTAGGAGGGACAATTAGCTGGAGACTGACAGTAATTTTGCCAGTTCATTTACCAGAAGGGATAAAGCCAACCTGAAACACGTTAATGTGAGAGTCTCAGACTGGTATCATTCTGTGCTGTTGTACAAGAAATGTACTGCTAGAGAAAGGGATGTGGCCATGGTGTTAATTAGGATTGCTGGGGTGTAAATAATGTTTTGTTTCATGAAGTCTGGCTAGGGCAAACAAATTATTTAGCTGATAGTACAGCTGAATGAAGAGCTCAAATGCATAAGAGGGCGTCTCTGAGAATCGATAGTGGATCACCGAAACATTTAATCAGAGTTTTACTGATCTCACTGCACCATCTGAGCTCAGACTGACTCCTCACTCTAAAATCAATGGTGCTGATACAGTCATTAACAACAGAACCATCAGTCTGAAACACTAACGGGGTGCAGAGGAGCTGAAAGCTGGGAACAGCACATGGGATTGTGCTCCAAGGCTTCCAAGGCAAGCAAGGAACTCTAAATCTCCATTACAGGAGTTTCCACTGTCATCTCCCACCGAGGGCAAGTGGCTGTGATTGCATGTACAGCAGCACATCCCAAGAGGGGCTATCTCATTTAGGGACTGAACCAAGACCCATGGATCCACAACCATGGCTGAAGAGCTGCTTTCAATGCTCAGTGCTGCCCACACCAGGGATCTCTGCACATGGGAAGAGTCTTTGCTTCCCATTCTGATCCTGCTACCTGGCTTCACTCTGTATCTCCTGAGGCAGATGTTTCCCAGCAGTCTGGGACAAATCAAATGCAAGACCCTTTGGGGCAGCTGTTGCCTTTGCATCCCACACTGCCTCTTATTTATCCTATTTATCTTATTTATCCCCTTCCCCAGCAGCTGTAGTTTGCTGCATCCTCCTGCCTGGCTTCCCTGCACGGCTC